GGAATTGAGCAGAGCAGTTGAGGACAGGACATTTTGATCATTCATTCATACGGTCTGCAAGAGTCAGGAGGTGACTTGATGGCATGTAACCACAAGAGCAAAAATGTAATCTAAAATAGATACTATTACTCTGTATCTAAAACAGATACCAAAAACAGTGTACTGTATATCCTGTAGTGTTTTACAAAGAAATAGGTGCACATCCAGTCGAGTGCTGTTACAAACCTCTTCCAAGATATCCTCAATTATAATGCCCACAAGACTGCAGCCCTTACATGTGCAGTGTGACATCACATGATCCATGGTAATTTAGTAGAAAACCAGACTCACCTATTTTATATGGAGACAATTAATAGTGTCTAATCTGAAGACTCTGTTCTGCAGATACTATCTTTGAGGATCGCCTGAAAGGATCACCAAAAGATGGAAAGGGGCTCATATTTGTTGTAGCCGCCCAGAGACATTTGAGTAGTGTGGGCGGCATATAAGTTAAATAAATAAATTGAATAATTTATAGAGAAACAAAAATTAAAGTCAATTCAAAATTTTATATCCATTGAATTACACAAAAGAGTGTAAATCTTTCTAATTTTTAGGTGCTCATTCTATATTTTCAAAATAATTTAATACCACCATGCTCATGGTCTAAAGGGTGGAAGCAAGCAATAGAGAAAATATAGTATATTAGTCAATTAGATTTGATTAATACAGCGTATATTTTGTCATTATGCAATGTTAAAGAGTCTATGTATTAAAACTATGGAGAAACAGGGGCCAAGATCCTATTGAACACCAGCACAGCAAGAAACCCATAGGCAAAGAATAGTATAGTAGTGTGAGATTGCATCTTGCTGTGCCCTTCCATCTTTGGTGACTGGAATCAGTCCCAACACAAACATCACATGCTTGTGCTATAGTTAATGACACAGTTTGATCCAACAGGATCAAGACCATACTATGTAATGTGGACTAGAAATGAATCTAAGCCATTCATGCTATCAGTTTTTAATAATTCCATCAATGTATAATTGTTTTCATCCATATATGTGTGTGTGTTTTCTTCAGACCAGTTTTGTATTAGTAGAAAATGAACATTTTAAAAGAAAAGAAAATAGATATCATTAAGTTTCAAAGAGCTGTAAAAGGGGAGCTGGTAAAGATTTTTAACATTCAGTTCAAAAACTAGGAAGGAACCCTATACAGTGGTGCCTCACTTAACGACGTTAATTCGTTCCAGCAAAATCGCTGTAGAACGAAAACGTCATAAAGCGACAATAAAAAAACCCATTGTGACACATTAAAACCCGGTTAATGCGTTCCAGTGGGCTAAAAACTCACCGTCCAGCGAAGATCCTCCATACGGCGGCCATTTTCGGTGCCTGTATAGTGAGGAATCTGTCCCTAAGCACAGTGGGGAGCCATTTTGAGCACCCGGTGGTCATTTTGAAACCCCGACAATCAGCTGTTTTGATCGTCGTAATGCGAAGAATCGGTCCCCGAAACAGGGAACCGATCATCGCACAGCGAAATTCCCCATTTAAAACATCGTCGTGAAGTGGATTCGTTGTAATGAGGGGTAATCATTAAGCAGGGCATGACTATATAACACTGGAAGAGGTGGAGATGACTTGCACTCATAAAACACAGTTTGAAGAATAATATGAATAACAGATTAATACAAATGTTGAGGCCCTAATTTGTTTCTTCAGGATGTCTGCTCAAACTATCTGAAAGGAAGCTCTAATATAAATTTTGTTTCAGCAAGTCAAAGTTAGAAGGCTGCTACATCACAAAGTTTCCACATGAAAGGGGCATGATTAATATGATAAAAATGGACAGTGTTTTTTTTTAATTGAAAGCTGAGATATTTGGATTTTCAACTCATTTTAGGCATACATATTATACTCTGGTGAAAGCTGCTGATATTGTTCTGAGTGGTGGTTCAAGCTATCGCAATATTCCCCCCCCCCATTAAATCCTGTGGCACTAACTGCTCCTGAGGCTGTGTGAAGCACCCTGTTTCATTTTGAAGCTAGAATGCTGGCAGATCACACTCCCATTGAAAGAAGTATGCAGCTTAGGGGTGCTCCTGGATTCATCCCTGAACCAGGATGCCTAGGTCTCAGAGGCAGACTGGAGTGCATTTGCACAATTAAAACTAGTGTGTCAGTGTGGCGTTCACCCTTATTATGTTAAATAAGTCATGCATTTCATGTTTTATGCTGATGTGGTTGAGAGGTGGGGCCACTAGAGATGTCAAAAGGCAGAGCCAGAGTAGAGTTCAGTGAGAGTTAGAGAGGGAAAGAGATAGTTGGGAGATCTGAGGTGTGATTAGTCTGAGGAGTGAGATTTAAATAGAAGATTGATGCTTGATGAACCTGAAGTAAATACTTATGAATTATTAAAGAAACGTCTGTAATTAATAACCCTGTTTTAAGAAAAAGTGAAAACTGAATGGACCTTCGTCTTTCCTAAGTAAAGTATGTTGATTTAGTGATCAACTGGTGGCAGCGTGTGAAAAGGTGTTTGGTGCCTTCGTGTGCTCTGTGTCTGGAAGGAGCCACAAGGGGCAAACGTCACAGCTAGTTACACCCCTTTCTTGAGATATCTGATCTGGCCACTGTGACACACATCCTAGTTACTTCCTGGCTGGATTACTGTAATGCACGCTATGTGGGGCTGCCAATGGGAAGCGTTCAGGAAACTTCAGCAGGTCCAAAATGCAGCAGCCAGATTGCTGACTGGGGCTGGTTACAAGGATCACATAACCTGTTACAGCAGCTCCACTGGCTGCCTATGTTTCCAGGCGCAATTCAAAGTGCTGGTTTTAACCTACCTGAAATGGCCTAGGTCCAAGCGTTCTCAAAGACCATATCTCCCATTATGAGCCAGCTCAGATGTTATGATAATCACAAGGCCTTTTTCTCAGTCCCACCACCTTCACAGGTGCATCTGATGGGGACACAGGAAAAGACCTTCTCTGTCACGGCTCCCAGACTTTGGAACTCCCTCCCACAGGATGCCATGCTGGCAAATATATTTCTCTTCAGGCAAGCCTTCTCTCAGTAACCAACTAACTATGTGTGATTTTGTGGTTTTTTAAAATATATTGTTGTGGTTTTTTAAATGTATTCTTGTGCATTGACTGGATTTTTAGTACTGCTTGTATTTTCCATTTTTCAGAGTGGCATTTAAAAAAAAATATTTACTTGTTTTTCTTAGCTTTAATATAGCCTTTTAATAATGTAAGATGCCTCTTTAGTCATTATTCATGGCTCTAAATATTGTCTTTTAATGATATTAACCACCGTAATATACTCATTGTTTTCAACTTTAAATACTGTCTTTCACTGTTGCAAATTGCCTTGGGTCCTTTTCAAGGAGAATGGCAGGGTACAAAATATTTTAAATAAATAAATAAAAAAATAGTCCAATACTTGCTGGCAAATTCCATGTTGCTAGCATAGTAAATTGCACTAGAGTAGGTCCACTGAATCAATGGAGACTTGGTGAGTCAAATCTTCCATAAATTCCATTGATTCAAATGGCTCTGCTCTTAACTGTAACTTACTATGCTAAAGCGAGTCACAGTTTGAGTAGAGCCGTTTAAATCAATAGACCTTACAGAGGAGTTGATTCACCAAATCCCTATTCAATAGACTTACTCTAGTTCAATTATGTTAAACAAGACTTTGGCCATTAAATTCTGTGTGCAAAGACTAATCCTTAGTTGTAAGAAGTGGCGAAGCTGAGACTATATTACTACTGTATATGGATTGGGATCCTGTTACGTGAGACAGGGGTCTTTAACCCCCTCCCCACTCCATATTAACAGGAAAAAATATATATTATAGAGACCACAGGGAAAGCAAGTGAACAAGCAAAAACTACAGAAGACCATGGTGGAGCCATGTCTCCTCACCTCACACAGCATCCATCTGCCTCTACTAAATCGTGAGTACAGTGGTGCCTCGCTTAACGAGTGCACCGTTTAATGACAAATCCGCATAGTGATGCGTTTTTTGCGATCGCTAATGCGATCGCATTGCGATGTTTTAGGTGGCAAAACATCGCATTGCGATGATTGGTAAGCGTTTCGCTGCGATGTTTAGAAAACAAACTGCGATGTTTAGAAAACAGCTGATCGGCGGTTCCAAAATGGCCGCCGGGTGCAGAAAATGGCCGCCCTCAGCGTTTTCACGCTCTGCCCTCGCTTACCGAGGCGGCGAAAATGGCGGCCGGATGGGGAATCTTCGCTTACCGGTGAGTTTTCCCCCATAGGAACGCATTAAACGGAGTCCTATGGGGTTTTACGTTCCATATAGCGATGTTTCCAGATAGCAACGTTAATCCTGGAACGGATTAACGTCGCTATGTGGGGCACCACTGTGTTATGGCTATTCCTGAATTGGCTCTAATACATCAAGAGTGGATAGAGTGGAGATAATCATCCTTGTGATATTAGTGTACCTACTTTCTCTTTAATTTCAAAGGAACCAGAAGCATACAACACAATACCATTACACAGACACTATAGAGTAGTTTGAATTATTAGTACTTCTTCCATCTCAATTTTCAGAACCCCATTCAGGATTGGGAATAGAAGTATCTTTCTTTTAGCTTTCAATGACAAAGGTCAGAAATTACTTGGATTGTCCTTCATTCTACCTGAAAAAATATATACTAAAATGAGATCCAAATTTATAGTTTTCATCCAGGGTTCCTGTGAGATAAAAGGGTCTGCTGCGGAAAAGCTTGCCACTGGCTACCAAGGCAGAGAACAACTAGGAGACTTGCTGGAATGGAGAACCCTCTGAGGCAACAGTATTCTTTAAACTTTCATATATGCCTGCCACTATTCACTCACCGATAGCGAAGGACTATTTAGGTCTCATCTTGTCAGTACATCTATTTTTAACAAAATTTCTTTTTACTGGAGAAATCAGTACTATTGACTTGAAAATAAACTACTTCAGAGAAGGAATATAAAAGGATTCAGATTACAGGTATACCAATTGCAGGATATTTAATGAAACTCTCTGATTGTCATGAACAACAGGGTTGACAAGAGTTGTTTATGAATTAACTTTTTCTTAAAATGTATTTTAATGACCCAAACAAGGTAAAACTCCTGGACACATATAGGACTTCATGCTTAAATTATACTTCCAATACGTTTACTTGAAAACCAGACATCATCTGCATTGTTCTTTTGGTTAAGAACACACTGTCCCAGTAATCATACAGAGAAACAATACAACAATGAATCTAGAAAAAATAGTATATACAATAAAACATTATAGGGAAAAAAATGTCAAACACAATCTGAAAGTTTCTCTCTTTCTTCAAATTGCTTGTCCACCACAAGTGACAAAGCTTGAAGGAATGCTGCCATTGTAGTGTTAGGTGACTAGAAATAAAGATAAAAAGAAAACCTGTATCAGAATAAGGCTCCTATATGATGGATCTTGTCCACTATATGAATGAGATCTGATCCCACAACGTGAACATCAGAATAATGTATAAACTCCATTAACATATAAAAATCCCAAGGACTATATTTACATTAGTGAATACTTCCCCAAAACTAGATCATAATTGTTGTACCTATGTGCGCTTGGTTTCAGAATGCTCTCTGTTGCTGGTGCTGAAGTCACACACCAGCACAATTTGCATTTAGTGGAAACCAGAAAGGCCCAAAGAGGCCAGATATTCTCATGTCACTGACCCTATAATGACAGGAAATTCAAAAGTAGCATAATCTTACTTTGAGATAAAGTGCATGGGCTAGAAAAGGCAGTTTCCTTAAGACACGGCCACTGAGTCCTTCACTTTTCCTACATTAAAGCAGAAGCACACAAGGCATTAGGTTCATATTCACAAATATAACTGTAAGGCACTTAGGCTTAGCTTCACACGTATGAATATAATGACTGCCAGCTTCTTCATGTTGGCTATCAATAGCAAAGCTGTTTATCAAATAGTATGTTGTATTTTGACACAGCCTGTTATCGAACTGTACTGCTTGGAATATATCTTACACGCAGCTCTCACAAACAGCCTGTTTCTAAGTTTCAGAATTTCAGATTGTAGGTAGAACTCAAAAGGATACAATTTAACTCAATACAATTTTTTTCCTGCCCACGCCAAGTACAAAGGTTTCTAAGCATCACATAGAAATTGACAGACCTCTTCAAGTGACATATGCATTTACTTTCAAAATGTGATTTGGTATGCTCACGATGAGGAGCTGATTTACTGAGATAACTTGGCATTCAACTGCAATTCTTACAATGGACTTACAAAGAGACATTTTCCTGCTAAAAAACAGCCATCTTTCCTGATTGTTGATGCAGTTTGCTTGTTACATCTCTCTGCTTCATGTGTTATGTTTTAAAACCAAGCAGAGGGAGCAAGGGACATTTGGTCCATCTTCTCCCTTCCACTGCATCAATCTTGCTGGGGGAACTCCCAAGCTTGACTACTATGATATTTTGGACTACAATGCCCAGAATCTCAGCCTGAAGGACTACACTCTGGGACATCTGTTGTGAAACTGTAGGAACTGCTTAATTGTAAAAACTTACACTGTTATAAGAGATTAAGAACCAGATAAAGTCTGTCCAATAGCCAGGAAAGCACAGATTTTCAGTCAGCATTTGGATAGTTATTAAACAAAAATCTCATTTATCCCTGAATATGTATTTTAGACTTAAAGTGGGAATAAACAATTAAGCAGGAGCGTATGTGCTTGGTTCCCAGTTCTAGAAACGGTTACAGAATAAAAGCACACCCATTTTAAGCATTTGGATATGTTACAATAGTTCTTCTCTGGTTAAAATATCAGGCCAGAAGTCTATTGGGGCTTCCCACATGCATAAGTAAATTTGCAGAAAAGCTTTTTGTTTTCTGGTCTGCCCAGCATATGATGGCAATCAGAGAATAACCAGCTCTGTTGAACAGCTCAGAATACTGCTCGCACTGATTGCACTATTGCCTTTCTGCAAAAGTGTAACCCAGCATTAAATTGTAATCTTTAACTGATCCATTACTGGAAGTAATACAATCTTCTTCTCGTATCCTTAAGCTCTTGATATCTGTCTATATCAGTACCATGAATAAATCCACCAAGATATGGTAGAATGTAATATCTCATGGTTGGATTCTGAAAACACCAACCTTTGGTATGGCAGAACAAATCTTCAAAGAATCAACTTTAATTGTATATGAAAAATAAAATTAAGAGACGAAGGAAAGAAATCCAGAAATCCTACCTTGAAATTTCTTTTAATATAAGACTCAATTTTGACACGTCACTTTCTAAGTAACCAATCATTTCTAGCTCCCGGAGTGTCAGCAGCTGCTGTCGAGGATATATTATTTGGCGCTGTGGCAGAAAAGAGCTTGTAAGAAATGGGCAAAAGTTGAAAAGCCAGAGCATTGAGTTGGAAGGGACCTTGGATGTCATTTAATCCACCCATCCCGCAGGCACGATACAGACACCAAATCTGCTAGATAATAAGATAACCTCAAATGTCTCAATAAATGAAAGCATATGAACTCCTGATGGAGTCTATTGTATGGCTGGACAGCTTTTGCCATTAGGAGGTCTCAGCATGTAGCTGAAATCTGTTTCCTTATAATCTCTGCCCACTGGTTCCATTTGTACATTATGGAGCAAGAAAAAATGAGATTGCTTCATCTTCTGCATTACAGACCTTCGGAGAAATGAAAACCATCATTGTCTCTCCCCTCAATCTCTTATTCTCCCATCTAAATACACCCTGCTATTTCAACCACTTCTCACAGGACTTTATTTTCAAACTTTTCTCTGCCAACCACCACCATCACCACAGGCTTGTTCGTTTGTGAACATTCTTATAATGGAATGCCCACAGTTGGGCATAATACTCCAGATGTGACCCGAGCAGCATAGAATAGAGCTTTTTACTCCCTGTGACCAAGACACTGTACTTTTCATAAAGAGTTTTGATCAATGCCTCTTTGCTTATTTAAAATCAGTCATGTTACTGTCATACAAAGTTATGATGCAAAAGTGTGATTAGTAATACAAACCTAGATATTTTGACTGAAAGAAAAACCATACTGAGTTTCATACGACTTACTTCTAAGTAAGTGAATACAGAAACTTAGCTACCTCTTTTTTTTACACAGGTAGGTAGGCAGGTATTGTACTTAGCATTTTGCTCTGTACTCCAAAAAGTGTGGATCTTTCAAGTTGAGAAAAACATTAATAAGTAGAAACAAAAAGCAATTTACAGGATTATAATGGTGTAGAGCAAGTTAAATTTTTTTCCCTTGCTTATCATTCTAGGAATTTGGGAAGCCCAGTAAAAGCAATTTCCAGTAGGTTAAAGACAGAGAAAAGAAAGTAAATTTTCTCCTGGATAAGAGAAACCTAAAAACATACTAGAGGTGGAACAGTCTCAGTCACTTGAGGGGAAGAGCAAAGCATTCCCCATTACATTTTGGAGGGGTCATTGCTGCTGTTGTCACACAAACCCCACTAATCTAAGGTAGCAACAATCATATTTTGCTATGCCGGTGAGGCAGGCACCTATTGCCTTGGACATACAAAGAAGCAGAGGACTTTTGACAACATCAAAAACTCAGATTCTCACAGTGTTTACCTTCATCAATTCTTCCAAGCAGGAAAGGTAGATTTTGAATATCGCTGCAGTGGAAGGAGGCCCAATGTATTGCCTGATATCTGCTCTATCCACAAAAGCCATGTCAATTTTTTCTGTGATATTCGAAGTAGTCAGGATGACCACATTAGGATACCTTTAAAAACACAAACATAAAGCAGAATTATTTGACATCTGACTGAATAAATAATTTGTTCAGTTTTGATCAAAAGTATCTATGACTGAAATCTTAGTTACAGAATGAGCCCCAGGGCAACTTTCCATCTGTTTCTTCCTTGTAAACAAGGCACTGCCTCTGCAGTTATTCGGAGCACATGTACATCTTAGAACTGCAGTAGTGACAACTTGTTTACAAGGGAGGAACAGATGGAAAGATACACTTGGGCTTATGCTACAAATGGGGTAAGCCATTACATGTGATAATGGACACCAACGACCACATCTGGAATTTTTGCCCTTACATTTTGAAATTTTTTCTGTGCAACTGTGGGAACCAGGAATATGTTTAATTACTTAAGTGAAAGCTGCAGTTCTTCTAGAGAGAAAAACAAATTATCATTTTGTTGTATGTGACAAAATTATATGTGCTTCTATCTCACAACCATGAATCCAACATTTTCAAATAGTTGCTCTGCAAAGGAAAAGTAGTACATTCTCCACTCTAATTGTTCCTAGATAACTTCTGAGTGTTTTTTAACTAAAAAAAACAAACAAACCTATAACAAGAGTCAGTTACCTTTTAATCTGATCAATTTGGGTTAGTACTGCGTTTACAACACGGATGGCATCAGAAGGCTCAGTACCTCCTCGAACAGCATTACGAGCTGCTGTAAGGCTTTCCACCTGCAAAAGAAAGTATAAGCACTCTCGCTCTGATTTGCCACTTATAAACTCTCTCAATGAAAGCCACACTGTATCTTTAAAAAGGAACTAAAAATTTAAATTTGCAGTAAAGTACAGTAATACAATTATCTTCTTGCCAGTCAGAAATGCTCCATCCACTTGGTATGATGGCAATCATGTTGTCACGTGCCCTCAAATTACATCTGACTTATCTCTAAGGATTTTAAAGGTGTGTGAGATTGTTATGGAACGGTTTTACCAGTTCAATCCACTAGGGAGTTTCTGTAGCAAAGCAAGGCTTTGAAACAGGTTATCTCGAGTCTAGTTTGTTACTCGATGTACTACATTGTTGAGATTTTGATATGAAAATGTATTAAATATTAATGTCGTATCCTAGCAGGCATCCTTCAGTCTCAAGAGACTATGGTAACGTGCTCTATATTGAGGACTTGGAACAGCGTCTAGTGTGGCTGAGAAGGCCAATTTGAGAGTTACAATCCCTTCCACATGGAAGACAAGTACAATCTGTCCCCTGTCCAGCTCCCTGATTTTGCTGCTTTTGGGACTGCCTCTTAATGTTGTATAGTTAAATGTTGTATAGTTAAATGTAAAATGGCTGATTTTACCTGAGTCACTGTACTGATTTTATCAAGGACTAAGACATAATGTTGTACAGCTGTGTACATGATGAAACTTTGTGTAACAGAAAATGACGTAATATATTTTCCGATTGGTCACAGAACTGTACATAAGTCATGTGTAAAATGAACAACTTTATCTGCTGTAAGTCAGATCACTTTTTCCTATGCTGTATGTTGCTTAATGTCATGATATGCTGCCTTAGTCTATTCTCTATGTAGATATGTAAATAGACTAAGTTGCTGGTTTTACTCTTTCAGTGTCATATTGTCATAAGTATCTCTGCTAGCCAATATCTCCTTACTCTGCTGATGTTATGAGAATACAAGTTATAATCAAAATTCTAAACATACTGTACATCACATTGACTCTCACAAAGGAAACATAGACATTTTCATTCCAAAAGACAACCACAAATAACAACTGACTATATTGAAAGCTAACATGAAAATGATACTGGTTATACCTCATCGATCAGTACAAACACAAGGGCATTTTTGTCATCAATAGACTCTTGAATCTTCTGGAACATTTTGGTAACAAGTTTGCCACTCTAGGGGAAAAAAGGATTTATATAAGTTATCGGACTCATTTCATCACCACATTGAATAGCTTTGTAATATAGCACTCACTTGACCACCTCTAGTGAGAAGCACATAACCAGGCAGAGGTGATAAAAACTTTAGCAATTTGACAGAAACACAGCATTCTTAAATTGTACACAGACAAGAAACATTAAATGCATCACAAACTCTTGCAAATGTTACATAAAAACATACCTCAGAAAACCACTTGGAGAAGAGGCTGTGGCTATTTATCTCTATCAACTGTCCATAGTAGTACCTAAATTCCAGTTGAAAGAGGTGTAGTGAAAACAAGGAATTATTATGATTAGGACTGGTTCTAATGTAATTAATATAAAAATGAAAAGTCCAAAGTGTCATCTCAATGTAAAGTGTTTAGACCAAATGACCCTTGAGAATCTTCTCAAGATAACGGTCTCATTTAAAGTTCTGGAACTTGAATTGTGACATCATGATGTCATCAAAGTTAAGAAATTGTGACCACAATTGTCATGTAGAGTAGCGAAACAGTATTGGAAAGGAGTACATGCTGTGCTGCCACAAGTATTGCTTTGTAAGGTTCCATTAACATCAGAACTGTTTTTATTATGATACGTGATAATATAGATAAGGCAAAGAAGTATATAGTTATATACATAGTCACTTCAGCTAGAATTCTTTATGCCAAAAATTGGAAAAGTCCGACGGTACTGAAACAAGATCTTATAGAGAAGATACAGGAAACAGGGTAAATGGACATTTTATCAGAAGTGATGAAGGACTGTCCTCTACAAAAGGCAACTGAAAGATGGGACTTATTCTACAAATGGTTTGAGTCATCAGACATCGCTTGAAGAACATGCATTAAAATGAAAACTTAAATCTGGAAGGCAGAAAATAGTAAAAAGAGCAATTTGGAATTTTGACATGGCAATATGCATAGAATGGATATTAGTATGTCATTGTTTCTCCTCTTCCCTTTGACCTCAATCCCCTTTTCCTTCCTGTTACCCTTTGTTAAACATAAAATATTTTTTAAAAAGAAAGAAAATGTGACCACAATGGGACAATTAGGTGAGGCTGAAGCAGTGGTCAACTTTGCCTGTATTTTGACCATTTCCCTCAGTTTTAGTTACCCTAAAATGTCCATGTACTATGACACTCCCAATGTAACATGTCTCATTTAAATGAATAAGAGAAACACAATATAGTAATCCCACTGCAAAGCAAGGCAACATGCTACTTTTGGCCTGGATACTTTTCAAATTTTTAATAACTAAATATGAGTGAGAATTACCTGTCTGAAAGTCTAATAGCCAGCTTTTGAGCTAATGCTTTACACAGAGAAGTTTTACCAGTTCCTGGAGGACCTGGAAAAAAAGTATAGGATGTGTTGCATAACTAAATAATGTCCATAATAAGACCAAATAGGCGGGATATAAAATAAATAAATAAATAAATAAATAGGAGCTAAGATGTGGTTGTTTGCACACTTCAGTATGTTTCATGTGATTAAAGCTGCCTCATAAAGGGCCATATGTAGAGGAACACCTGACAGAACAGAAACACATTTTTTGTGTGTACCCACTCCTCTTTTGCTCTAAACCAGTGGTTCTTAACCTTTGTTACTC